CGGCGGCGGCCGTTGACGCCGGCCACCGCCTTTTCTTCCCTGGGGCTCGGCGACTTCGTCCGCCATAGATGGAGCCTGGCCTCGAGCAGGTTCCCCGATTCCCACCTCCCACGACCCGGAGTAAAACGGCATTTGCCTCACGCCCCAGCGTTCACGTACATAAACACACACGCCTCGGGTGCAAGACTTGCACGAGACAGCCCTCGGTCCTCCCGTGTCACGTCCGCGGATCTACTCATCTTACACGGCTGCGTCTGGGGGAGACATCCGGCGGACTCCGGCTCACCAACCCTTTAACGGGAGCAAACCATGCTTGAAAAACGGAACCAGCGGAATAAACTCTGAAAAGGAGCCGCCTAATAATCCGGCCAGAGATGGTCTGTGGGCGAACGGCGAACCAGGCGAGGCTTATTCTCAGCACTCCCCCCTTTCAAAGGACTCATTTCTCTGGCTTCCTCTAGCCCCGGTGTAGCCCCACAAGTCCCGTCCCTATTAACCTTTACTTCCGCCGCTTTAGCCCCAGATGCCAAAAACTAATTCTGAGCAGGCTCTGCGTTTCCTCTGAGAGAGCTCTGGCTGCTGAAAACCACCCTCCCCGTCGGGGCTGGAGCCACCGCTAGTGAGTTTCGGCTCCTTGCCTCCCGGGCAAGTGCTCTTTGGGAGACATGGCCCCACGGGCCCCAGTCCCCGAAACCACTCACCTCTGACCTTCAGAGTCAGGTACTTGTAGTCCCAGGCCACCCCGCAGATGACCAGGCAGCGGTACTTCCCGGCGTCCCCCACTTGGACCCGAGGGATGTGGAACAAGGCCTTCCCCAGGGGCAGCTGCTCCTCCAGAAAGGTGGCTCTTCCGCCCTGGGAGGACGTCTCGTTCCCCATCTTTTGCAAACTGGCTTTTATTGCTCCGCGTTCCACGGGACGTCCGGTGTCAAAATCACACTCCAGGGTCACATTGCTGCCGTGGTCTACTGTGTACAGTTCCTTAGGGACCGTCACTGTGAATAAAGCTGGAAAGAAAACAAGACACTTTGCCGGTCTGCCTTTGCTGCGCATTCCGCTTCTTAGAGAGTGGAGCTGCTTTTCAGGAGATGCCTGTCGTTATCTGGGTGTTTCCTGAGAAAGCTTTCTCTCCTTGACCCCGACTGGGCAGGAGTGGAATTCTTTTTTTTGGGTACTATTATTATTTATTTAAAATTGTGGGGTACAGTTCAGGACTAGGTATACAAATATTCACCGCGCAGGTACCCTTGTCAGTGAGGTGTGCTCTCCCCTTCCCCAGGCAGATACCGACTGCTGTCAATCCCACCTCCCCATCCCCCATGCCCCTCCCGCAGTTTCCCGCCACTTTCAGTCCTTTTCTTATAGTAATACGGTAGTTGTTCAAGGTCTACTTGTGAGTGAGAACACCGTATTACTATGAGGAATTCTTGATGTGCTGCCCTGAAGTAGTTCTCGCCTCTAAACATTCTCACCTGCGCAGCTGACGGCCATCTCGCTCCTGCCGGGGCAGCCCAGCAAGACCTTCCTGTGGACCGCACTGCTTGCTCTCGGCTGCCCCCCCCCCCCACCCTTCGCCCTCTCCCCCAAGAGCTCTGCAGTCATTCCAGGCCATGCCTCAGCTGATAACAAAATGTCTCCGCATGGCGCCCCTACCATCAAGGTCTGAGCCCATTTTGCTTAGCTGCCTTCACATCATATCCCAGCTCATTTTCTTCGATCCACATGGATTGATTGACGTCTTTCCCTGCTAGAGATCACTACCTCTCACCAGGGGTGGCAATAACAACAACTACCACTTGAACTCTTAACATTGATTAGACACTCTGCTAACACACTGTCTCAGTTATCTCCCAGGAAGCCAGTGAGGTTGGTAATACTGCTATCCTCTTTTTAGAAAACAAAAATGAGGCATAGAAAGGCTAAGCAATCTGCCTAATGTTGCATAGCAAGAATCAGTTCAAGTATTTCTAGGTCCCAAATGTTGTTAACTACCACATCATACAAACCCACTGCAAATGCTTTCTGTTTTCTATCAATGAAAGGGAAAGGAAAAAAATGGGACCGATATTTAATGTACACTTACTATGTACCATGCCAGGCATTGTGCTGGGTATTTTCTATGTCATCTATTTTTATTTTATCTTATTTTTTTGAGACAGGGCCTCACTCTGTCACCCAGGCTGCAGTACAGTGGCATGATCTCAGCTCCCACAGACTCTACCTCCTGGGTTCAACCCATCCTCCCACCTCAGCCTCCCAAGTAGCTGGGACTATAGGCACAGGCTAATTTTTTGACTTTTTGTAGAGACCAGGTCTCGCTATATTGCCTAGGCTGGTCTTGAACTCTTGAACTCAGGCAATCCTCTTGACTCAGTCTCCCAAAGTGCTGGGATTACAGGCATGAGCTCCTGTGTCCAGTCTCTATCTATAGCATTTAATACTGAAAACATGACCGTGAGAATGTGTGGTCATTATGGTTTCATAGTTGAGAAAACTGGCTCAAAGACGTTTGCTTCAGGAGATACTAAAGTTAAAATTCAGAGCCAGATCATGTCAATAAAAAGTCATCAAAAGACAATTTTCGGCCAAGCAAGGTGGCTCACGCCTGTAATCCCAGCACTTTTGAGAGGCTGAGGTAGGAGGATTGCTTGGGCCCCAGAATTCGAGACCAGCCTGGGCAACATATCAAGAGCTCGTCACCACAAAAAAAATTAAAAACTAGCTGGGTGTGCCTGTATTCCCAGCTACTCAGGAGGTTGAGGTGGGAGGGATGCCTGAGCCCAGGAGGTTGAGGCTGTGGTGAGCCATTATTGTGCCACTGCACTCCGGCCTGGGTGACAGCGTGAGACCCTGACTGAAAAAAAAGTAAAAGAAAGACAATTTACTATTGCTGTATGTAACCAGTTGTCTCCACCGTGCAGATGGCAGTGAAGAGTGAAGTCACTTCCTTCTGGAAGGGTGCAACTTCGTCAAAACTATCACAGAATAAGAACGCAAGAGAAATAAAAACCAAACAACAACAGCAACAACAAAAAAGAATGCAAAGGACAGAGCAGTGCCTGATGTGTAAGCTCCTTCACTCATTCTCCTGTGGGTAACTGCGTGGACATTGTGCTGGGTATCCTTCCAGAACTTTCCCTTGCATTTTCATATATTTCATTCAACACAAGTACATATTGAGTGCCTATTTTCTGCCAGATCCTTTATGCGCAGAGATTTTTTAGAGATGCTTTTCTTGCTGTTTCTGAAATAAATAAGATTTTCACCAAATGTAAAAAAAAATCAGAGTCGGATGTTTGACTTCAAAATCTGTATTTTTCTTTCACAGTGTTTGCCAAAATATGAGGCACATAACACTAGAAGTGTTAAGATGATTTTAGATGGGGCAGAATCAAGGCCTAAAGGGAGTTCAATTAATCAGAGAGGAATTTTTTCCCTTCAATTACATATATTTTGCAACTGGACTCCCACACCTCTAACACTGGCTATTTTTCCTTTTAATCAAACAGGAAGCTTCTAAATAGATAACAGAGTCTGGGCAGAATTTGATAATACTGCTTTGTTTTCATTGCATTTATTTTTGTTCCTGTCCTCTACTCACCAGTGCAAGTGACACTGGTTTTTCATTTACCACAGGGGTATATTGATTGGTTAAAAAATATAAAAGCTGAATTGACTTCATTCTATTTTTTAATAGCATAAGGAGTGGCCAAACATGACAAAACTAGTGAAGGTAGTGTTTGCATGAATAACGTGAGAAACCACAGGCTTATGCTGCTTCTAACATTAGTGAAGGGAATTAATGATGGTGGAGGAAGATGAAGATCTCGACGTCATTTCTGAATCACAGCAGAAGATTAGATCAAATTATGTTCAGTAGCACTGTGTCATTCATGCATTCAATCAAATCATCCATTCAACAAATATTTTGGGGCTTTTTCTAAACACTAGCTATTCAAGGGGTTATTTCATTTTATAAAATGGCATGAGAAAAGCATAGAGTTTAGTGACAGGTGAGCCTGGGTTCAAATCCTGACTGTACTGGAAGGCCTTTGACTGTGAACCCACCATTTAGCCTCTGAGAGTCTCAGCCTCTTTATCTGTAAGACAAGGTTGGGATCTACCTCTCAGCATTGTGGTGAAAACGGGATGAGGTGTAAACCATGCAGGTCTGGCAGAGAGTGGGCACTCAGCCAACGTCCATTCCTTTCTTTTGTGCCATGTTTTAATTCGTGGGAAAGTGGTAACTTATATCCTGGCTACTAGTTATCAGCCAGGATATTTTACTAACCAAGACGGGCCATTTCCTGACCAAATGTCCCAGTATAAGGAACTTCTGGGTTTTCTGCTGCTTGGATGATTCCTATTGCAGTTATCTTAGGAGTCAAGCTTTTCTTCCCACACTCCTGCAAGTCTTTGAAGGCGATGGCCTGGCTGAGTTTGCTTCGACATCTCCAGGACCCCAGCAGACACTAAGTTCCGGTTAAGAGTTTGGCAAACCAACTACAGATGGAGAGATAGGATGAGCCTGGCCATATTCACTTCTGTTTTTCTCTCATCAGTTTGCAACTTGCTTGAGATCACACAAATTTGCATTCTTTTATTTTTTTCAGAGCCATAGTTGTTTTTTTTGTTGTTGTTGTTGCCCAGGTTGGAGTTCAGCGGTGTGATCATAGCTCACTGCACACTCTAACTCTTGGGCTCAAGCAATCCTCCTGCTTCAGCCTCCCAGGTAGCTGGGATTTCTAGGCATGTACCACCATGCCTGGCTAATCTCCCTTCCTTCCTTCCTTCCTTCCTTCCTTCCTTCCTTCCTTCCTTCCTTCCTTCCTTCCCTCCCTCCCTCCCTCCCTCCCTCCTTTCTTCCTTTTTTTTTTTTTTTTTGAGTTGGAGTCTCACTCTGTCACCCAGACTGGAGTGCAGTGGCCGCTCCCGGCCACCGCAGCCTCAACCTGCTGGGCTCCAGCAATCCTTCCGCCTCAGCCTTCCAAGTAGCCAGAATTACAGGCATGCACTGCCACGCCCGGCTGATTTTTTGATTTATTGTAGAGATGAGGTCTCACTGCCCAGGCGGGTCTCGAACCTGCGGGCTCAGGCAATCCACTCACCTCAGCCTCCCAAAGGCGCGGGATTACAGGCTGAGCCACCGAGCCCGGCTCTTTCTTTCTTTTTATAGCGATGGGGTCTCATGTTGACCAGGCTGGTCTCATGCCTTGGACTCCCACTTGTTGGGCTTACAAGTGTGAGCCAAATGCCTGGCTCTCAAATTGGCATCCTTAATTGCCACATGACACACACGATATGTGATGTGCACAAACTTGAGATTTATCAAAGATGACTGACAAGTTTGTGTCTTGCCTGCATGCCCTGTTTTAACCGTAGCTAGAACATTGTCTTTCTACAGAGATTCATGGTACAGAGAGGAATTCACAGGTGCCCAGTGTTTTTTGTTTTTTTTAGAAAGCAGGATTTATTGAGAGGACAGAAAAGCTCCCACAGTGGGAGGGGACCCAAAGGGGTTGCCCACTCAGTGTTTTTTTTGTGCAGTACAGGGGCAAGGGCAGGGCTATAGAGTGAGTGCTTCTGTGTAAAACAATGCTAATTATACCTGTTCTTGCGGGGCTGGGTGGAAAAGACCTTGGGATAATACTTGTGAAGAGGGATTTCTTGTAAGATTCCATGTTTTGGAACCAATGCACACTTGTATTCACTTTCACTCTGGGTCTTTGTAATGGGACCTGCTTAAGGGAAGAATCCTTTATGGTGGAAACCATCTCTGGATACTTGAGTTATGAAGTCCCTTGTAACGAAGACAGAGCCATCTGACACCAAATTCACTCTGTCCTGGAAGAATAATATTTACTCATTCACTAGCAATTTCTTAGCCACCTTCTATGTGCCAGGTTTAGGAATTTACTACTAAATTTCACTTTTCTCACAACACATTACACATGCTGACAGGAAACAGGGAAGAAAGCAGGGCCGGCAAGGAAGGTCAGTTACTGACTCTGAGTAACAACCAGAACTAAAAAGAAGACTTTTGGCAAATTTATTGACCACACTGTGCTTTCATCTCATGAGAAGGGGAACATTTGTAACTTCCTCTGGAACTCCCCTTAGCACACAGCAGAACTCCCCTCTTTGCTGCTGGGCCTTTGCTAAAAGTCCGCTTTCTGCTTCCTTTCCCCTTTGCCTCGTACAGAGTGTTAGCTAGGGGCGGTGGACATCAAGTATGGCACCTCTCAGACAGGTGACTCTTTTAGGCTAATATTTACAAGAGGAAAGAGTGGTAAGCACACATAAATCACGTGTTTGAGTAGCTCAGCATGACAAGAAGATTAATTGTTATTTGGCTTAATTTGGCCCCAGTTAAGGATTCTAAGACATGCAAAGCTTTGAGCTTGATCACCCCATATAAAGTGAGGGTTTAGGAAATGCAATACACTTTTGAAATCCTAAAACACTATCACTTGCTGTAAACTGCAGAGGAAATCAAAACATTTGCAAACAATTCTGTGAAGAGGATTTTCTTAAGCCTGGCTGCACGTTATAATCGCTAAGCAGAGGACCTCAACCTCGGCTGATATTGGACTCAGAGAGAGGCTCTTAAAATATACTAATGCCCAGACCTTGTTTTGGATCCATTAAAATTAAATTATTTGAGTGAGGCAAGCATCAATTTTTAAAAAAAGTTGTCCTAGTAGTTTCTGAGTTGCAGACAAGTATTGAGAACCGTTAGTTAAACAAACATATGCACATGAAAACATCTTTTATCATCTTGGCATTCAAAGTGCTGTCCTTCACCTGGAAGCTAGGTAGAATTGCAGAATTTCAGGCCTGCACCAGACCTAGGGAACCCGGATCTGCATTTTAACAAGGCCAGGGTGATGTGCCTGTGCCTTAATGTTGGAGAAGTAGCGTTATGACACCAGTCTGCAGTTGAGCTGTTCCTGGGAAGTAGAGTCAGAGTTAACATCTGTTAAACACTGGACGAACGCTTGTGTCCTCATGTCATTTGGCGTTCCCAACAACTCTTAAAGGCACTCATCTGCATTTTACAGACGGGGAACCTGTGGCTTAAAGAAGTGGTACAACTTGGGCAAGGTCCAAGAGTGGTAGCACATAGGATTGGCATTCAAATCCATCTCCATTTACTCGCTGCACATTCATCTCTGTGTTATTCTTGGTTTTCTGCAGGTATGACTCTATATCCACTGGCATATGCATACTAAATCCATGAATGGGATAGATATGCTTTTTTAAAAAATTTATTTTATTTTAAAGATGTGGGGTACAGTTCAAGATTGGGTATGCCAGGGGTCATTGTACAGGTAAAGTCTGGGCCTCCCTTTTGTCCCCACTTTGCCTGGTTTGAGATCAGGTACCCTTATTAATGTTATGTGCCACCCTGCACCCTGGCAGTTTTTGGCTACTGCCAATCCCCTTCCTACAGTATTATAGTAAATGTTCAGGGTCTGCTTATGAGTGAGAACATATGGTACTCAGTTCTTTGTTTCTGTGATAAATCATTGAGTATTAATAGACTCTAAATCCACCCTCCTTTGGGGCACTTAACTAAACAAAAGGACAAAAGACTTGGCAAAAGCATGAAAATATTTGAACATGCAGATCCTTTAGTCAGATTAAAGCAGCCAACTTGAGTATTTTTGAAAATTCTTGAGAGAAACTTTGTATCTTATTTGCAACCAGGTATCAGTGAGAGTTAGCCCCTGTCAACACCAGGAAACACAAAACAATCATTTGCATTAGCTCCCAAGATAGCTTCCTCTTTAAGCTAATTTTATAGCACTGAAAAAATGTAAGTTTTTTCAGACAGCTCACACGATGGGTGTCTGAAAAAACATAGCCACGTTCTTCAGAAAACTCTGAAGTTCCTAGTTTAAGACAAAATCTTACACACCTGACACATGCTCTGCTCAATGTAGGAGCACTGCATGGAGACATGTCTTAGCTTAGAAATCCTTTTCCTAAGCTGATTCTTCTCCTTGGTATATTTCAGCAGTCAGCAGAAATAGTTTTTGAAGACAGATCGAGTGGAGAGACCCAGACTGTGGGCTCTGCCCCAGAGTCACGTGGTCATGGATCACCATGGTCATGTACTCATGGGTTCTCCACCCCTAGTTTGTATCCACCTCTGGAACATGAGGAGAGGAGAAGACATCAGTGAAAAGAGGAAGACTGGGGCTGCTCTTTCCTCCAAGACATGGCAAGATATAAAAAGTATTTCTGAGTTACAAGATGTCCTTAGGCTTTGAAAAAAACCCACATCAATTACAATGCTATAGTAATCAAGAAAGCAAAAGTATACACTCAAAGACCAATGGAACAGAGAATGCAGAAATAGACCCCCATAAATATGACTAATTTTCGACAAAGATTCAAAGGCTATTCAATGGAGAAAGGATAGTGTTTTCAACTAATGGGGCTGGAACAATTGAGCATCCCTACGCAAAAATAAAATGAGCTCAAAATATACCTCACACCTTATACAAACATTAACTAAAAAGTATCATAAGCCTATATATAAAATGTATAATTATAAAATGTGTAGAAGAAAACATAGAGAAAAATCTCTTAGATCTTGATTTAAGCAAAGTGGTCTTAGATACAACACCAGAAACATGATTCATAAAAGAAAAAAACTGATAAATCGGACTTCATCAAAATTAAAATCTTTGCTCTGTAAAAGGCACAGGTAAGAAAATGAAAGGACAGGTCACAAACTAGCAAGGAATATTTGCAAATCACATATCTAATAAAGGGCTTGTATCTGGAATAAAGAACTCTCAAAACTTCACAATAGGAAAATAAACAATCCAATTAAAAATGGTCAAATGATTTGAATACACACATCATCAAAGAAGATATGCAGATAGCCAATAAGTACCTAAAATAATACTTAATATCACTAGCCATTTGGAAAATGCAAATTAAAACCACGACGAGATACTTCTATTCACTTATTAGAATTACTTAAAAAAGAAAAGAATGCCAAGTGCTGGTGAGGACTAGGAGAAATTGAAACGCTCATATATTACTGGTGGGAATGCAAAATTGGTACACCCACGATGGAAAGGTTTGGCAGTTTCTCATAGAATTAAACCATATGCTTGTCTTATGACCTAGGTCTTTAACCAAGTGAGAGGAAAATCTGTGTTCACACAAAAAAACTATATGCAGATGTTTATAGCAACATTATTTTGTAAACCACAAAAATTAGAAAAACCCAACTGTTTTGGGGAGTGGATAAACAAAATATAGTATACACACAATGGAATATACTCAACAACAAAAAAGGAATGAACTGTTGATATGCATAACAATATGGATGAATCTCAAATGCATTATGCTACGTGAAAGAAGCCAGGCCAAAAAAAAAGAGTATCTAGTGAACGATCCCATTTCTATGACATTCTGGAAAACAGAAAGGAGAAGGACGGAAACCAGATCAGCGGGTGCCTGGACTTAAGAGTTGGGAAAGGGTTTCTGCTGTTTCTTGGCAAGTTATGGAATTGTTCTGGCTCTTCATTGTGGTGGTGGTTATATAATTATGCATTTGTCAAAACTTATAGACCTTTCTGTGAAAGAGAATAAATTTTACTGTATGTAAATTGAAGTATACATGCATATATACATAATTTTTAAAAGTTATGAAAATTTTTTACCCTAACTTTTCACTTCAAACTTTAAAGTATTGTATAGATAACATAGTAGACCATCCATCCAAAGATCATACAAGTATGGAAAGAGTTAATGATTAATGGTTTGTTTGAGTTATATTCAGAGTCAAGTTATATCACAGTGCTGTGGTGAGGTGCACATGTTTTCAAGCATTAATCCAGCAGAAGAAAGTGGAAATAATTATAATGTCCACCAGTAGGGAACTGGCTAAATAAATCACAGCATGTCCAGTGAGGACTATAGGGCTGCTTAAAAATGGGGGATGTCTGTATTTGTGGATTTGGAAACCGTAAAAAACATACACCAGTAGAATGCTTACTAAGACTTCTTTTAGTTATTCTCAGTAATCCAATTTATGGAAAAATAAATAGCAGATAATATAGCCTTATGGAAAGGGTTTTTTGGGAAAAGGGTTTTCTGGGACAGGTGAAGAGTTTCTGGGGAGCCGGCAAAGATCTACTTCTTGACCGGAGGGTGTTTAGAAAGATGATCACTCTTTCATAGTCTCAGGCTATATTTTTTCCACGTGGTTGTCTGCATCTGTAGTATATTTTATAATAGAAAGCTTTGAATAAAAAGAAAATGAAAAGCTATTTAAGTGAGATGAACACCTGTGAATCTACCACCTACCCCAAGAACTAGCAAACTAGCACATTGCTAGTGACATATATCTATTGCTTCCTCCAGAGGTAACTGCCATCTTGAATACTGGGCTTATCAATCTCTTGCTTACTTTTTTTTTTTTTTTGGTGACTTGGAGTGTCACTCCATTGTCCAGGCTGGAGTCTAGTAGCATGACCGTGATTCATTGCAGCCTTGACCTCCTGGGCTCAGGAGATCCTCCTGCCTCAGCCTCCCAAGCAGCTAGGACTACTGGTGCGTGGTACCAGACAGGTTATTTATTTATTTATTTCTTTATTTACTGACTTACTTATTTCTTTGTAGAGATGAGGCCTCACTACGTTGCCTAGGCTGGTCTGGAACTCCTGAGCTCAAGCAATCCTCCCACTTTGGCATTCCCAAAGTGATGGGATTACAGGAATGAGACACCACGCTGGCCTCATCTTGCCTACTTTCTTAGTTGTATCTTATGGATATAAGTATGCTTAAGCCGTAAATTGTCCATGAAAAGGACATTGTGCTAGATGTCATCTTCAGGGCTTGCTTATTTTTTAGCAGGACACTATGCTCGGGATTCACAGGTGGAGTCACATGCTTTTATAATTAATTTATTTTCATGCTGTATCATATTCTGTGAATATACCACAATGGATCCATTTTCCAGTTCATTTGTAGTAACTAAGAATGCAGCTATCAGCACTATTTTTAAAACTTAAAAATAGACAAGTATGTACGCAGACAGGGTACTAAGGCATCATGTTGATGCAGTTCCTAGATTTGTCTTTTTTTCCTTCGCAATGAGGAGTGCAGGTCTAGGGTTGCACCAGGAGCGATGGAGGAGGTGAGGTCCTCAGACTGTCTGGCCTCCCTGTCAGCTGCGGCTCCCTCGGGCACCAGATAATGTAGCCTGATTGCTCTCATGTGCTTTTGGAAGGCTCCTTATGTTTTTTAAATTGCATTTTTATTGTAGAAACAATACCAAAATGCATGTTTCTTTTTTTTACACTCACAGACACATGTTTATTGAATCTTGTTCTGGTAGATTAATATTCCAAGACGATTAATTTGTAAAAACATTGGGGCATGTTTAGTTAATACACTTCTCTAAGGGACACTTTGGTTTTTTTTGGTTTTTGTTTTTGTTTTTTGAGTTGGAGTCTCACTCTGTCGCCCAGACTGGAGTGCAGTGGCCGCTCCCGGCCACCGCAGCCTCGACCTGCTGGGCTCTGGCGATCCTTCCGCCTCAGCCTTCCAAGTAGCCGGAATTACAGGCATGCGCTACCACACCCGGTTAATTTTTTGATTTATTGTAGAGATGAGGTCTCGCTGCCCAAGCGGGTCTCGAATCCGCGGGCTCAGGCAATCCACTCACCTCAGCCTCCCAAAGGCGCAGGATTACAGGCTGAGCCACAGAGCCCAGCTTTGTTCTTAGTTAAGGGCAGAACAATGAAGCCAAGTGCACTTTATTATTATTTTTGGTTGTTTGTTTCTTTTTATGTTTGTGGAGGAGCTCTCTATGGTTGGCTGGTGTTTTGCTGTAGCTCCATATTTATTTGGGACAGAAATTTTAATTAGTCCTTTGAGTTTTAGCCAGTTGCCTTTTGGTAACTCAGTGCACAGCTAAATATATACTTCTTATAAACAAAAAAACCCGAGTAAACATAATGGAGAAGATTGTGCTTTTTACCCTTATTCTAACCCACTTTCCCTCCCCAGAAGTAAAGATTTATTATTTCTCAGATCTCTTGGGTTTTGTTTTTTGCTTTTTTCTTTTTCATGTATCCCCTTTTGAAATCAAAACTTTTAAATTAGAGAGACATAGAATGACAAAGTTTTTTTTTTTTTAATACCACAGGGAGAAGGCACTCTAATTTAGGTAGGTATTTAATATTTGTTTGAACTGATATTCAAATTGAACATCAGTTATCCGCACAATGGAAAGCAGAGAAGAACTCCGAATTTGTGGAGAAACTGAGAAAGAGCTGTGTTTTTAGTTTACTTTTGATTAATTCACCAACATAATGTACTACATATACTTTTTGATTTTGTAAATGTCCAGAATAAACATTCACGATATATTTATATTTAATTTTAAGTGCAAAAGCCATTCCAAAGTTGGAAGATTTATGGACTGTCTGGCATCATCATCACTGCAGCACAGTAAAATAGAAAGAACATTAGCTTTGCTGAAATCTTGCCCATGTCACCTAATAACTATGTAATCCTGGGTAAGTTGAGTAACTCTTCTCTCCTCACCTATCAAATGGTTATTGTGAAGATTAAATGAGTTATAGCATGTGTAAGCTGCTTAACATAGTGTCTGGCATTTAGTGAATGCTCAGTAAATGTAAACTCTTGTTCCTCTGCCCTGTTAGTAAACTTCACCCAGAGACAGGTCCTATTTTCAATGCCCTGTGCTGCTTATCTTAAAAGGAAAGGTCCTTCCTCTGCAGAAAGATCCAGTGAGGGATAAGCAATGCTGACTCTTGCCACCTGGCTCACTCCTTTCCTAACAGAAAAGGCAAGAAATAAAAACAGAAAAGCAAAGTCCCAGTGTTTTTAAGCACCAAACCCACAGAGGTTGCACACTCCCCAAGGTTTCTCCTGAAGCCCCCAGTCCAGTCACAGGATGGGGAATGGTAGCTTCATTTGACCCTTGGTTTCCTTATCACTTTTTGGAAACTTGAAGCTCTTTGGTAGCAGGGGAGTGTTTCCTCCTTTTGCTTGTCTCTATAATCCCAGTCAGACCGAGTTCCTTGCAGAAGAAATGCAAAGTGTTCCTTCAGCTGGCATTGCAAAGGCAGGGTAGGAGTATGCAGAATATCGGGGTCTTCTTCTGAGGAGGGCCCCAAATCTATGTCTCTAGTGCCAGGCCAGGCTGTGCAGCCCGAGAGAGGGAGAGGAATGGACTGGGAAAGGAGCAATTTGGGACCAGCTGGATAAAAGAGAACGTCTTCAACAGGCTATCAAGTGCCGAAAGAACTGTTGGTTCTCAATCACAGGCGGGATGTGATTGGATGACTTGTCATGGGGTTAGGGCTGCTTTCAACAAAGACCTAGTGCCCTGTTTCTGCCCCTGCCTTACTCTCTTACCTCTTGGTATTCATTCAAAATAAGGCACTCTCGGTCCTGACTCCACCCTCGAGTGGCTTGAGCTGCCTTCCCAGGAGGACAACCAACTCTGAAACTGTTTCCACTCACCCACATCCTCCAACAGAAGTTCTCTATTCAAGTCCAAAGGCACAGCCTTAGGCTCACTGTTCATCTGGACTTCAGGAAGACTCTGAGTTTTCCATTCAAGTAATCCACACTAAGGTATGGATGACCAATGGCTGCCATTGTTGCTTTTTAAAAGAGAAACTCAGACCTGCCTGGGCAACTTGGTGAGACCTCATCTCTATAATAAATTAAAAAAAAAATTAGCCGGGTAGTGCACGCCTGTAGTTCCGGCTACTTGGAAGGCTGCGGCAGAAGGATCGCCGGAGCCCAGCAGGTCGAGGCTGCGGTGGCCGGAAGCGGCCACTGCACTCCAGTCTGGGTGACAGAGTGAGACTCCAACTCAAAAAAAAAAAAAAAAAAAGAAATTCACATGAACATGTAATAACAGGCGGAATGTCTGCATGATATTCTCTTTAGAGTAATGGAGTTCCCTAACCATTGTCGCCTTACTCTCCCTGCCAGAAGGGAAGGGGACAGCTGCTCAGCATCTCACCTTAAGGGAACTCAGTCCTGCCCAGCTGTATCAGTTCAGATGCACATGGTCTGACTGGTCCTGTCTTCTTGTCATTACTCTCATTGGAGAGTGGGGATAGAAACAGCAATACTCTTGGTCCCCACTTCTGGAAGACAGGGACCTTGGCGTGCACAAGCCATCTTGGGCGCCATGCTTTTTGTGGTGTTTGTAACAGCCAGCACTCACTCTGCCTCTCAAAGAAAGCTCTCAGCCCGAGGATTGCAGTCCTGTGATTGGCTTTGGCTAGGGGCCGATGGTTTCCGATCTCAGGCCTCTCCCTTTGTTCTTTCTTACCTGCTGTCTGACGAAACTGCAATTCCAGGCTCAAGATTAACAGTAGGAGGGACATGTTCTGCACTTGACCTGAAAGAGACAATGTAAAGTCTCAGGGGCAGCTTTCTTGGGTTTCATAATTTAGTGATTTACTTACTCTTGAAAACAGGGAAATAGGCCGGGCTCGGTGGCTCAGCCTGTAATCCCATGCTTTGGGAGGCCGAGGAGAGTGGATGGCCCGAGCTTGCGGGTTCGAGACCCGCCTGGACAGCGAGACCTCATCTCTACAATAAATCAAAAAATCAGCCCGGCGTGGTAGTGTGCACCTGTAATTCAGGCTACTCGGAAGGCTGAGGCGGAAGGATCACCGGAGCCCGGCAGGTTGAGGCTGCGGTGGCCGGGAGTGGCCACTGCACTCCAGTCTGGGCGACAGAGTGAGACTCTGACTCAAAAAAATAAAACAAGAAAACAGGGAAATAAATTTTGGGGGAAAGTGGTAGACCCAGGTAGAGTGGAGCTAAGTTACCAGTTCGTTGTCTGGAGAAGAGGGGACACATACTAAGAGGAAGTGCGGCACCCTTTATCAACCCAGACGAGAAGCCCTCCTTTCTTTTCTGACTACGAGCCAGTCCTCCCAAACCACACACGCTGGTGGTCATCTGCACCGCTCACGAAGGTGTCCATGGTTTCTTTAGTAGCAGACTCTTGAACCCTGGTTTTGCTTGTCAAATGAACGATGTACACCATCTTTTGTCACAGTCTGGGGTCAGGCAGTTGAAAACAGGGCTCAGTAGAACAGAGCCACATTCTCCATAAGACAAGCAACAGGTGCTAGTGGACAGAGCAGAGAAAGTCGTCAAGCTGTACGGGGCGCCGTGACTGAGCTTGTGCATCCTTGACCTGCCTCTTGCTGGGAGGCTCAGGCAGGGAGAGTAGGAACCGGCTCTGATGAGGGTGGGAATTTCCCACCTCGGTCCAGCTCTAGTTCCTGCGCTTTCTGCTTTGCTCCCAGACTTTCTTCATTCACGGACTTCTCGAGATTGAGAAAAGGGATGGGGCACATGATTGTCAGCTATTTTGTGCTCAAAGAGTCTTTTGAACTTCTATTATCCATGGAATTATTTCTTCAAGGGAAATCTGCTGGAGTCATACATCTAAATCAGGTAAAAGCAGAGTTGCTCTGAATGTAATGGAAAGCCAGAGGCAGGTTTGTATCAGGAGAGTGACATGACTTCATTTACATTATTTTTATCATTAATTTTTGTCAGTCAGGGTCTCTCATTCTGTCACCCAGGCTGGAGTGCGGTGGCATGATCACAGCTCACCTCAGCCTTAAACGCTTGTGCTCAAGTAGACCCCTGCCTTAGCCTCCCAAGTAGCTGGGACTACAGGTGTGCACCACCATGCCTGCTCACTTTTTTGATTTTTCTTACAGAGAAGGTCTCATGAAGTTGCCCAGGCTGCTCTCAAACTCCTGGGCTCAAGCAGTCTTCCTACCTGGGCCTCCCTCAGTGCTGGGATGACAGGCATAAGCCAGTGCTCCTGGCCCTCACTGACATTGTTAAAAGAGAACTTAGCTTTGCAGTAGGCAACAGACTGCTGTTGGGAGGGAGAGTTTGGTTGGCAAGATGAGAAGCAGTAAAATCTGCTGAGAACGTCTTCACAGAAATGATGACAGCTTGGATGAGGGTCGTGGGGCTGGAGGAGGTGGGAAGTGGCCTGTCGGAGGTTCTGCATATGTTTTCTGCGTAAATTTATTTTGAAAAATTTCAGCAGGTCGATTGAAATATAATTGCTGTACAAAAGAGGGCTGTGTTTGTGTGTGTGTTGACAACACAGATCTTTTCTAAGTGTACAACTGAGCAGTTTTGAGTATATCCAGAGTTGTGCAACCAACACCACTATCTACTTTTAGAACATTTTCTTGACCCCAAAAAGGAATCTGTTACGAGCAGAAACTCCCTATTTCCCCTTCCCTTTCCCCATAGCCCTTTATAAGCACTAATCTACTTTCTTTCTCTATCCATTGCTTATTCCCGACATTTCATGTTAATGAAACCTTGCAGTATGTGACTTTTTCTGAATGGTTTCTTTCACTAAGTACTATATCGTCCAAGTTCATCTGTGTGTAGCATGTGTCAGTACTTCATTCCTTTTTACGACCAATATTCCATGGTATGACATGTCACACTTGGTTTATTCATTCATTAGCTGATGGACATTTGGGTTGTACCTGCTTGTTGGCCATTATAAATAATGGGGCCGTGAACACCCATGTAGAAGTCTTTGTGTGTGTGTGTGTGTGTGTGTGTGTGTAAATATGTATATATATATATGCGCTTTCAATTCTCTTGGGGTACTAAGCAGGGCTGGAATTGCTGAGTCATATGGCAACTTAACTTTTTGAGGAACTGCCAAACTGTTTACCAAATATATGATTTTCAAATACTTTCTCCCATTCTGCACACTGTCTTTTCAGTTACTTGATAGAAGCATACATGTTTTAATTTAACTTCAACTTTATTTACTTTTGAAGCACAATTTAACTTTGATGCAGTCCAATTTATTTATTTTTTGCTTGTGTTTTGGGTGTCATATCTAAGAAACCATTGCCTAGTCCAAGGTCACAAAGCTGTACTTCTGTTTTCCTTTAAGAACTAAATGTGCTTTAATTCTTACATTTAGGTTTTTTGTTTTTTTTTTTTAATCTATTTTGGTTGATTTTTGTATGTGGTATGAGGTAAAGCTCCAGATTTGTTCTTGTGCATTTGAATATGCAGTTGTCCATGTATAATTTGTTGATAAGACTATTCTTTCTCTATTGAATGGTCTTGGTACCCTTGCAGAAAGGCAATTGGCCAAAGATATATGGGCATATTTCTGGACTTTGAATTCTATTTCATTGAATTATATGTCTAGCCTATGTCATTACCACACAATGTTAACTACTGTAGCTTTGTGCTAAGTTTTAAAATTGGGAAGTGTGAATTATCCAACTTTGTTCTTCCTTTTCAAAAAATGTTGGAACTATTCTGGCTCCCCTACATTTCTATATGAATTTTAGGATCAGCTTGCTCATTTATACCAATAAAGACTGCTGGAATTTTGGTAGGGATTGCACTGAATCCATCAATCCATTTGGGGAATATAGCCAACTTAATAATATTATGAAGCCTTCCAATTCATGAATACAGCATATCTTTCCTTTATTTAGGTCTTCTATATTTTGGAAAAAAAGACCCGAAGAGAGTTGCTGACAGTTGGATATATAGTCTGATAAAAATAGAGAAATCCAAGAAAATTCCTAGGTTTGGGCTTGAGTCACTAGGGTAATGAAGATGCTATTTATTAAAGTGGAGAAGACAGGGGGAGAAGCAGATTAGATACGCGAAACTAAGCCTTGTGTTGTTGAACCCAGAACTCTAATCAGAGAAAGAGAGAGAGAGAGACCACAAAGAGCCAGCTCCAATGCAAACACACGAGGGTCTTTATTCAGGCTCAAGTCTGGGCTCACGCATGAAGCCGGTAGAGGCTTCATGAACCAGAGCGTTGATCCAGTATGGCAAGCAGTTTTTATGCACAATTACAGAGGGAGGGGAAAGAACTTTACACTTGATTTTACATGATTGGGTAATTTCTCCTAATGGGTACTGGAACACTTGGTATTGGTAGGTGCCTTTCGTGGGCTGTAACCTGACTGCCCGTGATTGACAGAAACTCACTTAACGGGCAGAGTGGAATCTCAGATAAGTTAGGTTCACTGCATATAAAGTAACCTGAGCAACCTGGAGGTTACATTAGCCATTAAGTTTGCTGATTCACCCCGAGGAATACTTAGGGAAGCTTGTTTGCTTAACATTTACATAACATAACATGGTCATTATGGGACAACAAAAGCCAAACTTAACAAAGTTTTAAATATAAATGCTGCAAACACATACAGTGAATGTGGGGTAGAAATTCATATAGTACTAGTTCTGGGAATTTATAAAATATCACAAATGTCTTATAGCAAGGTGGTTTTTGTAAAGGTCTTTGATTCCTTCAGGTTTACATAGCCACTGCATGTAAATTAACACTGGCATGGAGGCCGGTGATTTAAATCAACATAAAGCCCACCTAGAGAGCAGCTAGCGCCTCAGAGTCTACTGCGGTAGCAAAGGAATGTCTGAAAGGGGCTTATCGCTTTAACATTTACATCCCGTTGTAAAAGCCGAAGTCAGCATGGCAATTGGGACTGACAATGCTTAACCCAAGAGTTCTAAATACAAACACTACTTAAGCCATTATAACTACACAATCAGTCACTACCCGGCACCCGACATATGCCTAATTCTGCGGGGTCTGAGGTAGGATTTAAAGTACTAAGATTTCATAAAGTACAATGAACATGAAGTAGGAATACACAAAATATATAGTAAACATGAGATAGGGATATATGAAATATAGTGAACTAAACACTACTTTTACAGCAAGTATGGCTTTTAAGTTTCTTGGTTTCTTGGGTCTCTCAATAGCATGCTCTTAACCTAAGTCTATTACTGTCCTCTCAGTGTTTGATGTGGGTTTGGACTGAGATGCCTGTTAGACATGCAAGTAAGGTGTTGAGTGGGCAGGTGGATAACAAGTGGTCCAGAGTTTGGGGTAGAGATATAACTTTGGGAGTCATCAATGTCTAAGTGTTATTTAGAGCCATGGGGCTGTGTGAGATCACCTGCAGAGAGATAGGGAAGAGAAGGTGTCCAGGGACTGAGATCTGGGGCATTCCAATATTTATAGATCTAAATATTTGTAGATCTTTGTAAGGAGAGGGCAACAGCAGAGAAGACTGAGAGGAGGGGGGAAATGGCAGACAACAGTGTATTTTGACCACGTACTTTATTTCCTGTATTCTGATGCTTTGACATTTGGGGCCTTGGTGACTCTGAAGGGACTGACTTTCCTAGGGTTCGCCAATTCCAGGAGACAGCAAACAACCTGCCCAAGAGCACACCTTTCAAATGCAAACCAACCAATCCAGAGCCAATACCCCCAACTACCTCCTTTCCTAGGGGCTTCACATTCCTAGATCCTATCCACCGGCCCTAATCACTCTGGGACCAGGTGCCAGAAGCCCCCAGGCCCCCAAGCCTGCTGAAACTGTTCATATTGGCCAACCTGAAATCCACTTATCCTGCCTCTCTCACTCCTTCCTGTGGAAATGATGGCAAAGGTTCCTGTGCACATTCCTCCCTCCCTCGCTGACTCCTGGCTGACCCTGGTGCTTCCCCCTGTGGCCCCCTGTGGCGTGTAGACCCTCTTCTCTTAGGATCCGTGAGCCTAACACACTGTCTCTTTTTAATGGCAGTCATCTCCTGATCTGTTGGTCTCACCATACTTTAAAAATAATAATATATTTTAAAACACACTGCCACAAAGGAGGAGTGATTAGTAGAGCCCAATGCTCCTGAGAGTTGGATTCAGCAGTATGGAGGTCGTGTAGGATCTTGACAACACAGTATCGGCGAACTTGGTACAGATGAAAGCCCGAATGGGTTTGAGAGAATGGGAGATACACATGTGGAGACAATCACAGACAACCCTTTAGAGAAGAGTACCGTAAAAGAGAGAGGAGAAATGAGGCAGTAGCTAGAGGGTAGCAACCTCAGTAGCTGTATTCCTGTTTTCACTTTGGGAAGGGAGATCTTACAGCAGGTAACAACTAGGAACAGAAGCAAGTGCTTTCCACAGGGGAAATGCTCAGGACACACCTTAGCTGGATTTGAAGAGACGCCGCCTCGTCAAAATGTAAATATACTTGGAAAAGGGATCCTCCTAAACTGCACCAACAGGCCCGGCCCTTGCCAGCATTCTTGCTTTTAGAACACGGAAGGATGGCGTGCCAAGTAGTCCCAGCTCCAGAAAAGACTCTCGGCTCCCCCACCACGGGCTTTAACTTCCCCCACTTCCTTGCCCATCTAATGGGACTTTTCTGGCATGCTGTCTCCTTGTGCAAACCGAGGGACAGGCACTTATGAAGGTGCTTTCCAATCAGCGCTTTCCTTCCTGTGAGGGAAAACATGG